TGTCTCTCTATTTCCACGGCTAAATCCGAAATGGACTCCCCTCTCTGTTGTTTGTAATTTTGAAAAATTACATAATTTAAATTTGTAAAACTTTTCGTTCCGTATCGGAACTCTAATGCTGAAACAATGGTTTCGAAGTTACGTAAATCCTAGGCAGAGAGAGAAGTTAATATACTCCGTGCCGATCCCTCCAAAGAAGAAACCAATGCTAAGGCTTTCTTTGGTCCATCCCAAGTATTAGCACAAGCTACTGCATTGAATTGAATTATATAATCTTCCCAAGAAGATTTTCCATTATATACAGGCGGTCTCACAACGTATCCTAATTCAGATACGTTCCGAGATTCACTGTTAATTCTTTGAAGAGGTGTCGACTGCGGAGTTACGTTAATGGGAATCGCAGGTTCAGTAGGAGTATTATAAGAGGACCGGCGATCCCCAAACGGAGTCGACGAAGCTGAGAATTTTTCTACTAAATTTTTTATATTAGTAGATAGCACCTGATATTGTTTTTCTACGGTGTTTATCCTTTCTTCCATAGCCGCTTCTTTAGCCGCTTGAGCCGCTCTTTGTGTCGCTTCCCTTTCCTGGGTTGCGATTTGGTTCCTTTCTATTTGTTCGTTGAATGATTGTTGTTGGTTTCTCATTTCTTCGATTAGTGTTTGTTGTAATCTGGTAAATAGACCTTCGAACGAAGATGGTTCTTCAGCAATAGATGATCGAGTGGCCATCCCACTTCTGACACCAAAGTTACCCAATTTAATTATGGTACGTCTGTTCTCTTTCATGTCATGTCAGAGACTGTCTTCTTTTTATATACTGGCGGTTGTCAGCGAAACGACTGACCGACCTACAATCGATTCTCGAAGTCGGAGGTATCTTCAGTTATAACGCGAAGCCAACTTCGTGGCTTCAAACGTCACAACATTACCCTCGTCACAACAATACCTACACCGTTGTTGACGAAGAAGAAAAAAAAGTTGCTGAAAGTGGGAAACGTGAAATTTCTACAATCTTTGGGATTTACCGTCGGACGGTGACAAACCCACCGCAACCATGATGCTGAATGACATTTTAAATACCTCTGCTGCACCGACCTTCGACAATTGTATAACCAAGGTTGAAGTGCACACGTACAATCCGTACGCCAATGCCGCACTCGGAAATAACGACCAGATAAGGATACCCATACATCAGCAGAACTTGTACACTCTTCCGTGTCAAAGTTTTCTGTACGTGGAAGGAAAACTTACCTTCTCAGGAGGAATCTAATTCTCGATAATAATTGTGTATCATTCATGTTCGGTGAAATACGCTATGAACTCGATGGTGTTGAAATCGATCGTAGTAGAAATCCTGGTATAACAACTACATTGAAAAACTATTTGAGTTTGTCTACGGAGAAGAGCAAGACGTTAACTAACGCGGATTGGAACTATGAAAAGGACGAGGAAGAAAACGATGAAGTGTACAAAGCGACATTATATGGGGTTCTGCGAAGATTATAAACGTGTTGTAAAAAATAGTCGTCATGAGCTGATCTCTAATTCGCGCCCGTGTCGATACGAATGCATTGTACTGTAACGGTGGCTCAATCGCTGTAAAACCTACCGCGGAACTGTATAAGATTCAATGACGTGTACCATATGTTAGTTTGGAAGAATTACACAAGCTGTATATGCTACGTATTCTAGAAAGTAGAAAATCGATTAACATGAGTTTCCATTCGTAGGATCTTTACGAGTACCCTCTGTTACAAACAAATACAGAGCATAGGTGGGCTGTAAAAGCCTGTGCGTAAATGGACAAACCACGATACGTGATATTCGATGAGTTGAATCTTGACTTTGATAAAGATAAATACACGCTAGCCTACGACATGTACGCGAAATTTCAGAACTCTTACTACAGACATGGAGAACCATTACTCAACACAATGGATTTCCTTCTTCATGGTCCAGTCGTGGTGATTGATTGTTCCCGACAACACAAATCTCTGAAAAGCGGAACGATTGATGCGCAAATAGATTTTGAATGCGTGACAATATACCGCACAGCACTACCGCATACTGTTTGGTTATACACGACCGTATTGTGGAATATAACCGTTTAACGAATGTTGTGCGCAAAATTATGTAATCTTATGTATTGAGTTATATGAAACGAGCCGCAAAATTTATGTATGTTAGATTTAAGATGTTCATGACATTTGAAGATTAAAAATTTCATAGAATAAATACGTTAACATACTGTAAAAATCAAAGTATTGTCTCGTTTATTATTCCTCTCTTTCTCCACTTCATAATATCCGGATATCAATTTTACCCTTCCATGCATCCGCTGGCTCAATCTTGAGACAACGGCAGGATTTCGATGTGACTGTACACGATCTTCGCACACTACCATCCTACATTCCACTGTATGAAACATGCGGTTCGCGTTACCGTGGTTGTTTGAGCAACGTATACTACACGGCGTGATAGCTCACTTTCAGTCGAAACCGCGGGGACTAATTTGTCATTCAACATAAATGGAAGCGAATTTCAAACGTACGACATTGGAGTCGAAGTTTGGTATTACATAAAGACTAAAAAGAATTTATTCACCTAATGATCTAACATAACCGTTTATTTTAAATTCTTCAAATAATACTCAACTCTAATTATTCGTACCATTATCTGAATAATTTTTTAAATATTTATTCAAATTGATTATGTGAATAAAGAACATACATGTTCAAACATCATCCGCATCGCCAAACTGGAGACGATGTAAGATGTATATTAATATATTAATAGTACAACAGCAATTAAATGCCAGGCATGTAAAAGTTTTGTATGTAGGAAGCACTTTAAAGCAAACGTAATGTGTATTTACTGTTTATATGATACTGAAAGAGAAGATTCTACATCACCAATACAAAATTTGAGAATCAGTACTAAAAGAAACACCTCCTTATAATTCGAGATAGTGAGGTTTTTGTGTACATTTTACTTATACATAATATATATTTCCCAACGAATTATCCATTACAGATAATAAAACAACTGCTCCATTTTTTTCAATCACAATATATGTATTACTTTTCGGTTTTCAGTGCTCGTGTTATATTTTTATATGCGTATAATTATTTCCCATTCATTATAAAATAAAGAGTACACTAGTCCGTTTAATAATAAATAACAGTACTAATAGACTAGTGATTTGCTTTATAAATTGAACCGCGTTTTCATTGTACCCGTCTGCGCCTACTAAATATTAATTAATTTAATTCCTATACATAAGTTTACATATTTGAAGTATAAAATGTACATTATATCTCTGAATAAATAGTTTATATTAATTTGACAGTCAAATCAAAATATCAAATTATTTATTATTCGTGTACCGAGTACACAACGCGTTCGGTCCTGCTACTCTGACGGGCGTGCCCGCCTGCGAATTAACCCTTTCGCTTCGAGCGCCGGATATATCCGGCATCCGCGCGACGACTTGTGCGTACGATACTATTATAGGTACGAGTACAATAGCATAATAATTCCAACAATTGTATCAAGGTCACGTCCAACTTATGTACGCGTGCAATAGCGTGAGAACTTTACGGTGGAGCCGGGTTTGGCTTGCGATATGTACGAGTGCAATACCGTTATCAACGAAATTTCCGTTGGATCCATGGTCTAGAATCGGCCTAACTACTGATATTAACGGATCGTGTATTGTTTATCATACAATTAGAAAGAAACAGTGGAATATATTGTATCACCGATTCAACAAGAAATATTTTCAATATACAAAAAAAGAACTATATTTGAGAAGTTTAGACATTTTTTGAGTGGGTCACAAGACAAAAAAATTGAGTTCGATAATAAATTGTATTATAAACATACAAAAATAGGAATCAAAAGTGACAAAAGAAATTGTTAATGTAATATGTTCACAAGTTATTACTTCTCTTCCGCTTTTGGTACGTGAATTTCGGAGGCCAAACTGATTGATTCTACAAGGTAAAAATCGGAGATTGTTGCGGCGAGCAGCAATCTTCACCTGTATCGCGTAAATAGATGGCTCGCGGTTCGCGTTTGGTTCCCCCTCGTCACCGTGCTCGGCGGTGCCCCCCTCGCGTTTGTATATATTGATCGTTCGAGCGATGTATCCGCCTTGTCTTGTCTTGTCTTGCCATGTCTTGCTTTGTCTCGTCTTCGTACTGTCTTGTCGCGTCTCGTCGCGTTTTTTTGTACAATTCCCGGAACGTGTGCCGAAACACGTGCTACACGTGAATTAAACGAGGTATCAGTACAGCCAATTGTTCGTTTCCTTCCTCGCCTCAATTTCGGATTGGAGCGCATAACGATGTTTCTCCGTTCACAACGATATCTCTTTTTCTATTCCCACACGCTCAAACAGAGATGATCAATTATATTGCAGATACTGCTAATTTAAATTTTATGTTGAGTGTATGGCGGAAGAAATACATATTATAAAACGATTTCGACAGCAATAATAGTATTTTTCTTGGAAATAATTAATCAAACAGGAAAAAAATCAAGATAACAGTAACAGTGAATTTACATGAAATAAATCTAATTCGATTTCTGTCTAACTTAAAATTGTCATGAATCAATTCAGGCCCTATTAATCAGACCCTACACATTCTAGTTCCTGTAAAGTGACAATGCAAATGTCAGACCATACAGTCTATTAAGAATCCAAACCTGTTTCTTTAAAAATACAATGTGCCCCTCACTGCCGTTGATACCAGACCACAGAAATAGCGATTTATTTAATCGGGATTATCTGAACTGTTTCTATAATTTCCTAATTAGTTGTATGATGTGACTATATGGAGCTAACACTGTATAAATTCTAACTGTTCATTCATAGAAACAAATATCACTAACAAAAGAGTAGTTCAAAGTATTACTAAAATAACCCAAAACCTCGTTAACCTTCATCAAACTTTCACTAGATTTCAGGCAATCACACTATCCTTATACTTCTAGGTACGCCATATTAACGCCGAGCCGAGTGACAACGACGATAATCAGTATTTGGGTGATATCCGTGATGACGGTGGTCTTACAATCATCGTTAGACGTGGGCCCGGACTTCTGTCGCCGTCGGTTTAATGGGATAGCCTTGGAGCAAGCAATAGGGGCTAGCCTTCTTGTAGGTCTGCCAATCTTGACGACAACAATCTTGTACGTGAAGCTCGTGATTCGAGTTCGCCAGGCGAGAAGGAGCTCCTACAAACCGCCCATCGCCTTCTCATGGGACTACGAACTGACCAAGGCAAACATATACAGCTGCGCGATGTTCCTCGTGTTCTGGGTCCCTTTTGGTGTTGCAGTCTGCCTTAATTCTTTCTGGCCTATTAGCGCTCGTGTTCTCTACAATCTCGCCTGGTTCGCACTCTCAAAATCTTGCTTCAATAATCTTCTCTATTGCGTGGCCGACAGACACTTCCGCTCCGCCTATGTCAAACTCTTCCACTACTGTTGTTGCAAGACTACTGTCAGCTTCTCCAGAAGAGCTCGTGGCGATGGCGCCAGAAACGCCAGTGACTTTCGTCTCAGGGTCCACATTATTCATTCTTACACCAGCCCGGCTTCTTGTAGGTCCACCAGAGAGCTGGGCAGGCCCAATGGACGGGACATCTATGAGCTTTAAACTGACAGTACTAACCACCGCCGTCCAATAGATATCCGTTCTTCCTTCATTTTGTTTTTGCTTGATTCTTCTTGGTGGAAGATGTACAGTGTGGTCGTTAGCTTCACTGGGAGCTCAATGCGATTATATAATTGACAATTGAGAGAATTGAGAAAAACATGTCTGAAGTGTAAACAGTTTCAACATTTCGCCAGATAAGAATTAGGTTTTGGACCTCGAATAGGCCCTACGAAGCATCTAAATCTGGGACGTTCAAGACTTTGTTGGGAGGGCGGCCAGGACAGGCATGTCATCTCCCCAAGAGCTGCAAGCTTATGGTGGTGTAATCTGTGAGTCTAGGCACACACGTAATCACGTGACTGTTCCTATTCTCTTTTCCGACCTCGCTATTAACGTTGCTCGGGTAATAAGGTGGCTGTACTAGCTTACAAAAGCCGAAGTTGAACGTCCTTGGTATAGAGTCTAGATTCTTGAAAGATTTGTTACAAAGTTTCACCAGGGCTGCAGCTATGAGCTTCTTAATTTTTTTTTAATTTAGAGTACTGTTACTTGATGACTATTCAAACGTAGAAATTTCAGTACTGCAATTGTAGTTGTTAGTAGAGCGCAGATATTTATAAATCTTTACTGTTTTACAGAAACCACTATCGGATGGAAAGTTTATTTCATCTACAAACAGATTTATTGAGTTACATGTAAAATATGAATTTTAATTTTTGTTTATGAATGTAGTTTAGTAGTATGATACATAATCATTCGCAACCCAATTACAGATAATAACTTGCCGAATATGGGATCTACTTTACAGCCACGCAGTATCGTTTCCACCGAACATACGGCGAATATTCATTCTATGCTACAATTTATGCGTATAACAATACACAAAGAGTCCAAGGTTACTTCTGCTACGAATTCGAAAAACCGGTTCTAATTGTACGATCTTGGTGTTTCAGCCGAAATGGTGACTAATTTTGTTACATTAGCAGTAATTTGGAACAATTTTTTATTTAAATGATTTTACAGTAACTTTCATACTTTCATGGAAACGAGTCCGTTATTCCGTCTTTTAGTGGCAAAGTAACACGATCGCCGTTGTTTTGTATCGGTCACCATGCCACTTTTCACAATACAGTCGGCTCGATCCGTATTATCTTTATAAAAGCAATAGCGGTGTCGTTACGTTTTGCAGCCAATGATGACTTTTCTTTTTCGAGGAATATGTTTATAGTTAGAGGACATTGTACTTAATTCAAAGAACAGAAGATGCTCCTTCGATAATTACTACATTTTTACTGACTTAGATAAAATATCCAGCCGAGAATATGATGAAACACGATCGGTTCCTTTGATTTGCTGTAAATTTAAATCCAAGGGCCGTATTTATAGACACAGAATCAGGCAATCGCCGTTCATTTTGGAAATCTTTGCGCCACCCTTCTGCCAAGAATCGAATGTTTATGCAATCTCACATTCTAACAGAACCAGAATAAAAAAGTGAGAATGATGTAAAATTACATTGATTCTCGTGAAGATCGTAATTTTATTGTGTAAAGCTCTTCGAAAATGCATATACAATTCGATGGCGAGCAAGGATATCGATGTATTTTTTATATAGACTCGTAAAAAACAGATTTTTTGCAGTAATTTCTGACACGCATCCGCTCTTGAGATTCCGAGAGAAGTTTACTCGATACTTAAGGGGGACTAATCGGGGGATCTGCATCGGGTGGGTTGAGCCCGCCCATCACCCAGCCGTTTCTTCTTCACACGACGGGCTGGCCCGGTCCTAACGATACCCGGCCCGCGCAGGCCCGACGATGCGCGCCGCAAACCCGCCCATACCCGCCCACATCCGTGCTATGCCCCTTAACCCGTGGAATCCGTGCTAGACCCGCTCAGCCCGTTCAATCCACGCCATACGCATACATACACGAGAACCGATTTATCAATACATACTTCAGTTCTTCCTACATGCACTTTTATGCAAGTAAATACCATTCCTTCAATTGATTTTATTTTATCTTTTCTTGTTTATTAATAATATTTCAAGGTACTGTTACAGCAATTTTAATCAATAAATACATTAAAATTATGTCATTAAAATCAATCCTATATTCTGTGATGCTATTGTATAATAAAGGAGAATAATTACAACTTTTAATTAAATTTTTATACAAAAGATGTTTTTTTAGTGGTAGTGTTTTACTGTTCTATTGTGTACATTATATATTTTGAAACAAAACATGTTACAAGTATTTTTATTGATTCATTATTTCAAATTAAATCAAATTTCTGCATGTATCAATAATTTCTTGAATTTGATACAATGAACGCCACATTGTTCCCTCATAAAGTGAAATAAATCCGCGGCTTGCTATTATAGCTGTTGAATAAAGTGCTAGTAAATTCGCAGGTAAAGAGTAGCTAAAGATACGAATATCTACGGGTAACGGCGCAGGCAAGTATGGGAAGGTACACGCGGCGATAACTTCGGGCGGGCATGGGCGGCTAGTTATACATATATGCGGACCCGCTGGCCCGACACCGGGTTTGGGCGGGCTTAGTTGAACCGAAACACGACGGGTAACGGGCGGCCAGATCCGTGTATATCCGCCCGTTACAAACCTTTAGGGGAAACTCCTTCGAGGCCAACTCCAAATCTATTGAAGCGCCGATGTAAACAATTGGTCGCTAGCGAAAACACATAATTGATAACTGGGACGCCTTGATGATACAACATCTAACGGCAGTATCCACAAATAAATTTTGTTCCCCGTTACCATCAAGTTGGATTTAAGTATTCTGCTATGCGAGAAATTGTTGCCGGACCGTATCGAGAGTTGTGTTACGCTGTTACCATATGTCCCCCATTACAATTCTGCCCATCAGGAGAACGATGGAATACCTACGGCTACGAGATTTCTTTCTCGCCAACCATAGGAAAAGAATGACACGAGCGAAAGACATTCGAAAATGAACCCATACTTACGTCCTAATGTGTGCAATGATGCTTATTTTTTAACCAATTGAAGTACATACCAAATACTTGAAATGGTATTCCCGAGAAACAAATTGTAAAAATGACACAATATGCAGGGTCTCCTACGCAACTGGAACAGGCTGTACCTCATAAACGGTTGGGAATAGAAGAGGATTAATAAATAGGATTAATAAATTAGTGCATAATATGCACTAATTTTATGTACTTTTATGCATCGGTGCATCAGAAAAATGCAACTGCACTTTTTTTTAAATGGTAACCTATGTTTTTGACTGCACCAATCGATGCAGTTTCTTGTGCTCTACATGAAAATACTAACATACTTATGCCCTAAACTTATTCGTTAGGAAGTTATCGAAGCTAAAAGTTCTCTGAATTATTTCGGTCTCTCGGCGAGTATTCCGGAGTATCTACGTTATGTTGCATTAGAATGTTTGTAAACATGAAGCTTCGATAACTTCCTAACGAATAAGTTTAGGGCATAAGTATGTTAGTACTTTCATGTAGAATATAAGAAACTGCATGGATTAGTGCAGTCAAAAACATAGGTTTCCATTTTAAAAAAACGCAGTTGCATTTTTCTGATTCACCCATACACAAAAGTGCATAAAATTAGTTGTATGTTATGCACTGTCTGATACCATTTAACTTTTACTTATAACATCTTCTTCTATTCCCAATCGTTTAGGAGGTACAGTCTGTTTCAGTTGCGTGGGACATCCTGTATATTTCGGGTATTCCATATATAAAAAACATAGAATCCTTATTCTTATTTAATTGTTATACTATAATTCAATATAATTAACTCTCGGGTCTTAATTAATAAGATATTTGTTTATCCTTTCTTTCACTTAATTTTTGTAAATCTATATTTATGTTCGACGTTGCACATCTTAGCTGGTTTTCTAAATTGGCATCAGTTAATGAAGCACGTGATGAACTCTTTGTAAATTTCATCTTCGAAAAAAATGTTTCACAAACATATGTGGATCCAAAAGCACTTAAATAACTCGTTGTGCAAAATATTTTAAGTTGGAATATCTCTCGGATGTAATGTAAATATCGTCATCAATCCACTCTCCTACATTACTAAGTGCAAAACCGATTCTTTCAGTAACATTGGGCGTTCGTGGATATCAAATATTGAACTGGAGTTCGTAGTCGCACTTGCGCATTATAACAATGACACATGCAAATTTTCATTCATTTAATATTGTTTGTATATATACAACGAGAAACAAAAGTTTCGATAGAAATATAAATCGCCTGGCGGGCCGCACAATTGAACATGGCAGGCCGCGTGTTGGCCAGGCCTGGATTATACCTTACGCTTATGCGGTTTGTTTCATCGTGTAGTGCAATTCTCGGGAATTTGTTTAGGCTCTCTAAATTTTTCGATTTACCAGCGGGGGCGTTCGTAGGGTCAAAACACTGAGCGCATTCGACGATTCCGGCGGGATCCCCCTTGGAACAGTCGAGCGACAATGTAAGCGCATGCGCTTCCCGTCTTTGAGTCGACGGTGACCTGAGGCAGACAAAAACCTTTAAGAGGCTGCGTATCGATGTGACAATACAAATGGAACTTTAAAACATTTTTATTTTTGATTCTTTATTAATAAACACTTTATTGAACATTTGTCGAATATTCACTGCACTGCTATGTTCCATTGCAGGAGCCCAATCTCTATTAACTTCTGGGTATAAGTAACGTAATTCCAGAACTAGAATAGAAGCCTGTTGTTTACTGTTCAACAAATTTTAACTTTTTTCGTTTTTGCAATTCTCTCAATAAGCGTTTCTGATAAGCCTTTATGAGCTAAATACGATTCTGCAAACCGTTTCTTTCCAGCATGTCCAGTTTTTGAAAAAATCTAATTTGAAATAAATTGTACATTTTCAACTTTGGAGCTATATGCTTTTACAGTAATAGTTATTAAGTTCCTTTTTGCACGAATTAATTCTCTGGACTCTTGCGAACAAAACATAGTACGCGATAGACAGACGTTTCTGCTCA